AATTGCTTGCGATACCAGGTGGATGGTTTCATTTCCAACTCTCTACATGCAAAGCCACTCAGCCTGTCGTTACCAAAATCATGTTTTTAAAGCAAGATGATGTTTCTAGAAAGAAAAGATCTCTGCAGGGAAAATTGACTCTGGCATCAAATTTGCAGCTAATTTTCTTCCTCCCTGTGCCTTGTGCAGGTAAAGACAGAGAATGCAGCATTGTTATTGGGGGCTACCCACCCCATGACGCGCAAGGACACTGCAGATCCTCTCTGAAGCCAGGGCAGGTTCCCAGTTGTTCTATTATCTACAGCAAGTGTAACCCGAAAGGCTGCCACTGCACTATCCTCTTGCTTCCTACGGGAAAACTGGACAAACCCTTCCCCCGGGGACGCTTCAAGCACCTGCTTGACTCAGCCAGCTGAAAAATACCAGGGAGAGAAGCGCTTATCTCCGTTTGCCCGCTACTAGAGGTCATGGCCTGTATTAAACACATCTTTCTGACAGCATGCAAAGACAGCCAGGGAGGAGCTGGCCCAAGCAGGGAAAGTTTTGACTGTCAAAACACCTATCACAAAATACGCAAAGCAGCAGGAGCTGAGTGCCTCCCCAAGGTAATGAAGAGGGGGAGAAAAGTCATGCAGCACTAGACAAACTTTCATGAGCTCCTGTAGGTAGTGAATGAAGCTAAGCCAGAAAAAACATGATGAACAGCATGCTGGCACAAAGACGTCCCCAGTGCTGCTCGGAAGTTGTCCAAGAAGGAAAGCTCTGGTGCTTTCCCACGAACCTTACTTTTTATCCTACGATACCTGCACGGGTGTGCAAATCTGTGAGTAACTTCAAACAGCCAGGGATGGTGTCTCTTGGCTTCTTCAACACATTCACCACAGTTAAAGCTGCCAGTTGTGAGATACTTTCTGGGGAAAGGGAAGATTTTGTTTCTCAGAAAATGCAGCTTTTGCTACAGACCTAGATGATCCCTTGTCTTCCCATCTGCTTAGGCAGAAGACGTGTTTCTCCAAACAGGACTTCCTCACTTCCTCTTCATTTACTTGTCAGCGTAATACAAGTCCATTAAACATGAGCACTAGCACGCGGGATGCTGGTTTTGGAGCCATTTCCTATTTGTTGGAGCTTAAAAATGTTCAGAAACCACGCCAAGCCCCTCTCCTAGCTGCTATCAGCTGGGCCTGAGAGGCAGGTGGCTGTAAAATTGCCAGCAATGCTATAAAGCATTTTGTTTAAAAAAAAAGAAAAATAAATTAATCCATTTCAGTGGATTCCATTATATACCAGAATTACATTTGGAGCTACTAAATAGTGGCCCTGGAAAGTCCTATTGATGGGATTTAATTATTCAGCTGAAGTCTGAGGTGCCTCCACTTTACTGAGCCCTGCAGCTGCATCATTAATAAGATTTCTATCTAAAGCACTTCCCTCCTGGGTCAGGTAAAAGGCACTGCATTACCAACGGTATTTTAGAGCCTGACTCTGGGCTTTGCGAGACAAGAGGTGCAAATGTAATCAGCCACTTGTGACAGGACGTGAACCTAAATGAGCTCAACAGAAGCATCAAGCCACTGCGGCAAGCGGATGCGGGGAGCACTGTGGGCCACTGCAAAGCTCGTGGGCTCTGGCACCAGCACTGAGTGAGGCTGGTGTCCCCTCGGGAGAGTGCTTGCCCTCCACACCACCAGACACACAGCCCAGATGGTAAAAAACCCAGGTTCCCGCTTCAGCAGCAATTGAAGAAGCCATGTTTCCAAGGGCTCAGTGGCTGGCCTGGGAACAAGCAATGGGTTGACTGAACGCTTTCAAAGATCTCCCCCATGTTCCTCCTGGACCTTAAGGAGAAATCCTGTAAGGATGAGGAAATTTTGCCCAGAACTGCACTCCCCACACTGTTTTGCCCACCGTTTCTGCAGGAATGATATGAATCTACCCCAAGCCATATACAAATGGTGATGGCAGCACTTGAAGGGATCCTGGACATGCTCTGGGCAGGGGAAAGAGAAGGGTTGGGGTGGACAGCACTGCTGCTTACCTCGTCTCTCTGGAGGGGAGCAGTGCTTGCTGTACATGTGGGGCAGGAAGGTGGAGGCTTGGGGAAATAGGGGGCTGCAGTGGGATAGGGACCCCCACTCAAAGGTGGGGGTCTGAAGAGGAGGTGCATCCCCAGAACCACTTGGCATCACACCCTGTGAAACCCAGGGCCAGGCCCCACTTCCCCATGGTGTTGAGAAAGAGTGGAATGCACCTCACTCAAAAGAGAGAAGCAGCAATATGTTTTATTTAGGTAGAATAATAATTTGACAGGGTTCAATAAATTCGATGGAATTTAACAAAGTTTAAGAGTGGTTTACCAAGGTTCAAGAAGTTTGATGGCAAGGTTCACTTTATTACTTACTGCATGGAAGAAACATACAAAGGAAAATTGAGTTAGAATGATTCACAGAGAGACCAGAGATGAAAAGTGTAAGGAAGACCCTCCTGTTGAGTCACGAGGTTCAGAGTGGACCCCCTTGCTTTCTAAACTCCTGATGGAGCTTAGGTCCAATCTTAGTCTCAGACTTGGACAATGGTTTATGTCTAATGGAATTATCTATACAAAGTTTATAGTAATTAATATTTAATAGCTACATGGATTAGTAATGTTTCATTAGTATTAATTCAGCATGCTGTCAGTCACCAAAGATCTGTCATTGGTAAAAGGTCTCTCTGCCTCAAGGAGAGGGGTGTCCCAGCTGAAGGGGAGATCACCGCCATGCAGCCACGCTGCCTGGCAGGGAGAGCTCAAAGAAGGCTCACCGAGGCTGTCATATTTATGGGATAAGGTGGTTGGCTCATAGTCAAATTCCATGCGATGGAAAAGGTATGCATGAGACTCCTTGTACCCACAACTTTCTTTGTTCCTTGATAAATGAGTCTTGGAAAAGCCACTCGCTATTCAGGTGTTAATCACATGATTGGTGTTCCAAGCTCATATACATCGATGCTCACTGGGTCACTCTACTCCTTTGTGGGTTTTCAGAGAACAG